ACAGCCGCAGATGCTGAGGATCCCACAGTGGTGTTCTGGGGGAAGGAGCTGAGGATGGGTCCGGGCAGGGTGACCACCACCGGGGAGGGCTGGATCACCACGGTGGAGTCCTGGCACTGCCGGACACAGGGCTCGTTGCAGCTGTTGGCCAGCGGGGTTGGACCACAGGAGGTTGGAAGACACCGCTCATAGCAGGACATGGCTGTGGGCTGGAGATAAGTCTGGAATACAGGAGCAAAAGTGAATGCAATGTAGGAGTCATATTGCACTTACATTTACCTAGCTCAGGTATCATGACAGCAGGAGCTTTCCAGGGATCCTTTTAGGAGTTGAATGAGGAGTGAGCTGAGAATGAGAATTAATTCTTAAAAATGCTACAAGAAGACGGAGGCTGAAATAATTCTCTCTCAGTTGTCGGTGATCCAGTCGAAGAGCTGGCAGCAGAACAGAAGGACACATACCTGTATCATCACTTTAATTTCAGTATTTTGATTTGCTGTATGTCTGGAAAGGCACTACTGAGATCCAGCTCCAGGTATTCACAGCATTGTGTACGTACTAATTATGAGTATTACCCAACCACAAATGTTCTTATGGATAGAGTTCAACAGACAGCTGCAAAATGAAATGAAGACTTCTTTTCCAGGTTCCAACTTCGCCTACGCAGCACAGATTTCAATATATTTAAGTGTACTTGGAGTTGAGATCTTTTCCAGACAACTTGTGACATCCATGAGAAAGCCAGAAGTTCTCTGCATACTCCAATAAACACAAAAATTGCTGTTTCCTAAGCCTACCTCAGCCTGTTGGCTGCTCAGCTCTCCTCTATTTTTGCTGTTCGTTCCCCTTGTCCTCACAGTCCCTGAAATAATTTCTCCAAACTTACACCCCATAACATAATCCCCAAACTCGACAACTAACAACATTTTAATAAGGAAGAGTTCTCCCCCCACTCCACCTCAGCCAATGCAGCAACCAGCAGAATACTGTGGAGAAAAAGGAACAGCAAGCGAATCGTTATGAAGGCAAGAATTCAGCAAATAATAGGAAAAAAAGAAGCACATTCAAACTAACCTTGTTCACAAAAGAGGGAGAAGGTAAGAGAAGTGGTAGGAAGGACCTTGAGTTGAGTCTGCTTTTATAGAGCATCTCGGATGGCCTGAGGACCACAGACATCCTTTGTGCATGAAATTTTTAACCAGCGAGTATGACCTGAATGCAAAATGCTTCCAACTGGTTAAATGTCTTTTCCTGCCTCTTTATTACTCTGTTTTCATGTCCTTATCTTCTGACACACGTATTCTGCCATGCGAGTTTGTCTCATCTCCTGATATTATGGACCAAATTTATTCCAGTGCCACCTTTCAGTCACAACAAAACTTATGCTTCAGTGTGTCTTTCATTTCAGTCATAAGGAAAGATAAGAACAACGTCTACAATACATAATTCAGCATTTAAAGAAAAATATCGACCTTGTACCAATTTTTCAGTTGCTTTTCATATTTCAATAATATCAACTAAAGTGACCCATCTACAATCTTAACTATTTCCTGTCCTTTACAGACCTAAGCAATGATACCAACCCATAAACATGGAAACATGGACATTTCGAAACCCAAATTCTTCTGTAGCATCAGGTACTCACTGGTAACCTGGAGAATTTATTTTCCTATAAAACAGATGAGAATATCTGCAGAAGTTTTCAAAGCTTCATTCTATTAATAAAAAAGCTTCTATTTGGCATAATACCTCATGTTTCAAAAACAAAGCCATCAGAGATCACTGCGGTGTTTTCAAAAAGACTCCTGCAGTGTCTGCTGACCGTGGCTCCACTCCAGACTGGTCCAATTGGCTCAGAAAACTCATCCAAGAGGCTTGAAGCTCTCCTTGGAGAAGTTTTTTAAGCTGGTGACCAAGTTAAGTGGCATTTGTTCTCAAGTGGGTCAGGCACACAAAGAGCTTTAGTAAATGTCCTGGATGCAATCTTAGATTGTGCTCCTGAGACACTCACAAGCTACCAAATTGCAGAGGAGCTGAAAAAAATGTCTTTGTTGGGCTGGGCTTGGAGTAATTTCATATCTACACAAGTAGAGTCACTGTGAAAGTACCAGAAATTACAAGTACCCATAAATTGTAAAGATGAAAGAAATTTTAATGGGTAAAGTGTACTTCTCATGCAATGCCAGGGTGGACCTAGACTGGAAAATAAAGCCAAAACCATTATCAAGAAAAGGTTCCACCTGCAAAAATATATGTGGGAACTAATTCATGCAAAGAAAGGGTGCCTCGATAGTCTCATGAGTCTGGAAACATCCACATGTACAGTTATTGCACCCATTTCTCCGGTCTTAATGTACAAAGGGGTCATGCCTTTCAAATTGATGTTCACATTCTTCAGGAACCATCTCTTTGATGATACATTTAATAAAGGCTCCAACACCCTGCACAAACACTCCACGATGCCGCTTTGTCTGGAGACGGCCACTTCCAGGACACTGCTTGCTTTTTTCTTTCATATCTCCAAGCTTTTCCATTCACAACAAGCACCACTAATGTATATTTTAGGACACGCTGTTACGGACATGGGCCACTTACCCAGACATTTCATTCTCCTGAAATTAATCTCTGCACTCTTGATGCCACTTGGCCGTTTGCATCACAGAAAGACACCTTCCTGCCACCAAGAACAGAGCCATTCTTTGATGTACATCAGAGGGCAACCAGTGATTCCTTACAGATCTGAAGGAATAACTAATTACTTCAGTCACACTAGTTCTGGCAATAGGGCACCATATCCTTTTGTCTGCATTCCAGCCCCTTCAATTAATTTTTTTAGGAAATACACTCATGGTACCAATTTTTAAGCAGAGACTTCGCTTAGTCTAGTGCCCATGGATTTACCATCTTTCGTACTTTGCTTTTGCTGCCTCAAGCCAGTCTAAAATAGCTTCTTTCTAAGCTATTTTTCCCCCTAATTTTCTAACTTTACAAGTAAGTAATCCTTCAGTAAAGAAAACTTAGAACAGAAGTGTTAAACATTGGAAAAACTAAATCTACATCTACTGTGTGGCCATTTGGACTAGCTCCAGCACTGAACCTGAAAGCCAGGTATCTTCCCTCTGTCTCCTCCACTATTGCTCCCTCAGCACTACTGTATCTTAATTTTCAGATAGATTTTAGTGGGCTCTAAAGAAGAAAACCCTGCATGACATAGAGAGTCATCAGAAATTACACAACCCTCATTCTTCTTGCTTTCCTGGGCTATGCCCTGCCAGACCCCACGTAGCTCCAGTGGGAGAGCAAAGGAGTTTATGCAATTAAAAACTTGGATAAATGTCTCAAAGCTTATGAACCTACAGGCAAGGGTATACTTTATTATTCTTTGCTGTCTCTTAGTTGCACAGTGTGCTGAGTTTTAATGTCTTGGAGAAAATTCCTAGTAACAGCATTAAAGCTAAATGGTTCTGAAGGGAAATACCTATGACCATTTGTAGAGTTCTTCACCAGTAATTTTTCCCCTATATTATGAGAGTTCTTGTGTTGATTAACTAAGGAATAAGATCTATCAGAATTTGTATGAGGCTTGAAAGAGAGGGCATCTAAGCCCATCATAAACATTTATTAGTGAAACAATCGTATAAAGAGTCTTATTACTCCAATGAGATTTGAACACTCACTTCACCTTTGAAGCCTTGAGTCAAGCTCGCTCCAAGTGTGACAGGTTTAAAGACTCAGTCTAGTAGTGTTCAAGCTAACCAAAAATACAAACCCCAAAACTGCTTCCAAAGAATCTTAATACGCACTTTTAAATACTCAGAGTTCCAAAGATGCCAAAAACATGATAAATTTAGAAAGCCCCCAACCTGAAATATCACAATTTTACTTTTACACACAATGGTGGAAAAAATATTGGAAGAAGATAACAAGACAAATATATATGTGAACTTGTTCAGTGCTTCATAAGAGTGTAAAAAAAGTAGAAATCAAAGTAGAATTCATTTTTATCATATTGACTGTGGTGCCTGTTCAATTCGCATTTTCTACTGGGAAAGTATTCTGCATGGGTTTTCCATATAATGACACATTCCACCCCAAGGGGATGTGAAAAGGAGAAGGAAACCACACTGAAACTCAAAATCAGATGCAACATCAGTTTAATGCTAAAAAGTCAAGTAGCATTCTGCAAAACAAAGGCAATACAGGTATTTATATAAGGGAAAGACGCCATTTAAACCATTCCAACTGAAAGACAGCAAGCAAGACTCCAATTTTCCTTAATTTCTGAATAAAACCTGTCCAATGATCATTTAAAAGTACAGAATTATACTAAGACAAAGTGAAATTCAAAATCACAAATACAAAGAAAGACATCAAAAGAAGGAATTTCAACAAGAAGACATCATTTGGCCGCGTCTCCAGACAGCGTCTTATTCCCTCCCTCCCTCCTTTAAATGAGGGCACAAGGCTGCTCAACCCATCTGGAAACCATGACCAGCAGCTCTGTCCTCAGTCCAGTCCTTGGCTTTGGGCTTCCTGGTCCATCACTCACTGGACATCCAGCCCAGCTTACCAGGGCAGGCACCTCCTGCCGCAGTAGCGGCCACCAAGCCCAGAGATGCCAGACAGGCTAAAGCCACCAGAGTTGATGGGCACTCCATCCTCACTCAGGATGCTGCCAACAGCAGCGGAGGTGGTGGATCCAACGGCGGTGTTCTGGGGGAAGGAGCTGAGGATGGGTCCGGGCAGGGTGACCACCACGGGAGAGGGCTGGATGACCACGCGGGAGTCCTGGCACTGCCTGACACAGGGCTCGTTGCAGCTGTTGGCCAGTGGGGTTGGGCCACAGGGACGGCACAGGTCGTAGCAGGACATGGCTGTGGGATGAAGGTGTACCTGGGAGAGAGGGCAGGGAAAGCACAGGCAGCAAAGAGTGAGAGGCACAGCCTGACAGCCTGCTCAGCAAGAGAAAGAGCATAGGCTGGAGAGCATGGACAACTTGACTAGGGAGGAAGAGAGACTGAAGAGCTGCAGTCCCCAAGGAGGAACCTACAAAGAAGTCCAAGATTTTCTCCCACCTCCCCCAGTGGAGAATAAGGAGCACAGAGACGCTGGGAGCAGGATCAAGGAGCAAGGCTCTCAGCAAAAGATACACCAAGGCAAAAAACCAGTCAAGGGCAAAAGAAAAAGAGAATGAGAGAAAGAGAAGAGTGAGGCAAAGGCAGCTGCAGCTCACCTTGTTCACCGAGGAGAAGGCAAGAGAAGTGGATGAGGGAGCCTGCACTGGGACTGGCTTTTATATAGGTCCAGACCGCCTCAGGCCCAGAGGCACCCTTTGTGCATGTAATGTGTTTACCAACACGCTCATCTTCCATGCAAAATATCCAATTAAAGAAATGGGGACAGTGCTTATGTTCCCTGCAACACTGCCTTTTCATTTCTCTATACATAACACACCCATTCAGCCTCACAGACTCCTTTCAAGTGATGGTATTAGAGGCCAAAATATTTCCGGGGGGAATGACACAGAAGTTAAAGAAAAATAACCCCATTGCACAGTGCCTGAGCATCAAAAATGCAGACAGTAGACAGGTGCAGCCCAGAGTCCAACACAGCCACCAGGCTCATGGTGATGAAGCAGGACTGACATCAAGCAGGGCAGTCACTCCACATTTGGGAAGCCAATCCAGTGATGGAAACCAGCGTCAGCAGAGCCCACTGATTGGTGACCAGGGCCTTAATGACCAGACAGAGCCAAGGAGAGGCTGGGAAATCAGTGAGCAACTCAGGGTCCAGATCAAGGGGGCTCATCATCAGCATTTAAGCAAATATGGAAAAGAACAGGGGACTTCTGCGCCAACCACCAAGCTCATGAAACAGCTAAAGCCTCGGGACAGAGCTTAAATAGAGCCCTGGGTCAAAGGGAAGAGGGAGGAGTGAGAGGTGAGGCTCAGGTGAGGCTCATTGGGTTGTTTGGCCTGTTGTTACTGCGCTCGGGCCACAGATGTGCAAGAAGATGAGCTATGCACCTGGGACACAGGACACCACCTCCACCTATCATGACAATAGGGGAGAAGGAATTCTTCCTTCAGGAAATGAAGCTTAATCTAATTTTATATGTGCAAAATCCACCTTTTCTTCTAAGGTTCCTTTCAGTCACATCCCTGCCCCAGAAAATCCACAGGTGGAGCCTCCTATCAGACCTTGATACTCCCACAGGCAGTGCCTATGACAAGGGTCTGCTCAAAGGCTCCCATGCCCTACTGCTCCCTGCCCTCTCTAATCACATGCTGCAGATGCTGTCTGCCCTCCCTGCTCTGATCTTCCCACCCCAACTCACTTCTGCTGTCAGCTCAGCATGGCTCACGGATGTTGATGGAGAGTTCATTTCCTGAGGGCCTTCCTGCACAGCAGGGCACAGGGGGGTTGCCGACGGCAGCTCCCTTTAAGTGAAGACAGAGCTTTAGCTCTGGGGAAGAGCAATGTAGGAACATCCACAGAGTATGGGACAGCACAGGAGATGCTCCTCGCTATACCTGAAGCACGACTGGGGGGCACAGGGCAAACCATCAACTGTGGAGGATAAGAGCATGTGGAGGACGAGAGAGGCAGCTTGTCCTCTCCTGCATCCTCTGTGGCAGGAGCAACTACCACATCCCGGTGGACTTTACCACACCAACTACATGCCAGGTACACACACAAGCAAAGTCACTTCCCTCCCTGATGATGATGGTCTTGCTGTTGAGGGCAGAAGGGCAGGAAGACACAATGGCTGTCACCTGGAGGGTTCTTTCCTTCCCTCCTCTGGTGTGCAAGGGCCAGAGAAGGAAGTGCTAAATGCCCTCAATTTGGTGTTGTGGGCTACAGGTCATGCAAACTACCAAGCAATGACTGTGCATCTCTGCCAACAGTGCCAAATACTTCAGAAAGGGGCCTGAGGGGATCAGAGGGATGGTCTGCAGGCAGAAGTGAAGGGATAGGAATCCTTGAGTATTTGTCACACACCACAAACCATTGGAGCAATGGAAATCATCACAGGGTTTGGTGAGAGGCATAAGTCTGGTGTTTAGGACAAAGGGATATGGATGACTTTCAGAAGGCTGTATCCCATGTAAAGAAGAGTAAACACCCAGGTGACTATTTCTATGGGACTCAAATATCCCAAATCCCCCAAAAAAGCACAGGTGAACTACATCCTTTGAGCCATGCCTTCCTCCTGTAAAGCATCTCCTTTTACCTTGGACAGTTTGCCTGGGCATCCCATGAGGGAAGGAACACGAGAAAACTCAAGATGCAATGCAGAATAAACTTTAATGAGTCAATAGTGAGAAACAAAGCAGTGCATGGTGGAAGGGACCTGGCCCAGGCCGCTACAAGGGCACCTGGCAGACAGGCACCTCGTCACAGCAGTGGGATACCGTCTTCCTCAGGCACAAGTGAGGACACGGTGATGAGAAAGGGTCCTCTCAACTTGCTTCAGGATGACCCCATGGCACAGGAGAGAAGGAGACAACAATGACTCGTGATGTGCAGAAGAAAGCAGGAGAAGCAGAAGACATCACTCTGTCCTCAGTCCAGTCCTTGGCTTTGGGCTTCCTGGTCAATCACTCACTGGACATCCAGCCCAGCTTAGCAGGGCGGGCACCTCCTGCCGCAGTAGCGGCCACCAAGCCCAGAGATGCCAGACAGGCTAAAGCCACCGGAGTTGATGGGCACTCCATCCTCACTCAGGATGCTGCCAACAGCAGCAGAGGTGGTGGATCCAACGGCGGTGTTCTGGGGGAAGGAGCTGAGGATGGGTCCGGGCAGGGTGACCACCACGGGAGAGGGCTGGATGACCACGCGGGAGTCCTGGCACTGCCTGACACAGGGCTCGTTGCAGCTGTTGGCCAGCGGGGTTGGGCCACAGGGACGGCACAGGTCGTAGCAGGACATGGCTGTGGGATGAAGGTGTACCTGGGAGAGAGGGCAGGGAAAGCACAGGCAGCAAAGAGTGAGAGGCACAGCCTTACAGCCTGCTCAGTAAGAGCAAAGGCACAGGCTGGGGAAATGGAACGGGCTACATGGGGAGAGAGAATTAGGAGTCCCATCCCCATGGTTTCCCTGTAAAGACAGCCCAGAAATTCCTCCCCCCTCCCCCAAGAGTGGCTAGGAGCACAGATCTGCTGGGAACAGGATCAAGGAGTGAGGCTCTCAGCAAAGAAAAGACACAGTTGAGCCCAAAAAAGGCAAAGAGACCACAGAAAGAGAAGAGTGAGGCAAAGGCTTCTGCAGCTCACCTTGTTCAGCAAGGAGGAGAAGGCAAGAGAAGTGGATGAGGGAGCCTGCACTGGGACTGGCTTTTATACTGGTCCAGACAGCCCCACGCCCAGAGGCACCCTTTACGCACACAGTATATTTACCAACACGCTCATCTTCCATGCAAAATGTCCGATTAAAGAAATTAGGACGCTGCTTATGTTTCCTGCAACTCTGCCTTTTCATTTCCCTGCTCATGACATGCCCATTCAGCCATGCAGACTCATTTCAAGTGATGGTATTAGAGGCCAAAATGTTTCCAGGGGAACGACACGTCAGCATAGGCCAATGGTGCAGTCAGTGGTGAGGAGTGTCCCACCTCACCAGGTGATGACATTCCCTTTCCCTCAAGGCCTCCCTCTAAAATGTTTCCTGATGCACAGGGCACGTCTCCTCACAACCCCAAGGGCTCAACCTGGACATTCACATGCAAGGGTCAGCACCATCAGTCCCTCTCTCTCATCTGTGCTCACTCACACTCTATGAGTCATCACCTTTCTAGGCAGGGCATCTTTGCTCTTGGCTTTCAGACTCTCCGAGACTGAGCTTTGCTCTCAGTAGATGTTTTCTGCATCCTTAAGTGTTCTGTGATTCTATATCTTGGTTTACCAGTTTTCTTCTCTCCTTCATCCCCACCAACCTTAAGCAGTAGTCTGCCAGTGGTGATGAAAAAAGGCTATTTCTCTCCCAGCATTGTTTGTTGGAGACCTTAGGCAAAGTTGGAGGAACCTCTGTGACCAAGGCACATGCTTAACAATGAATACACAGCTGTCTTCCTGCCCATGACTTTGCCACAATATTTGCTTTGGCCATCCACATTGATGGCACCTCAGGCAAAACCTAACACTTGGCAGGATTTGCACAGGACACCCAACACTGCTCAGCAGCAAGCAGGGTCAACGAGTCTTTGCCAGGACAGTCGGAGGAGCACAGCACAAGAGGTACCTCCTGCTGTACCTGAAGTATAGCCAAGGAGGACCAAAGTATTGCCTGTGGAGGACAAGTGCATGGGAAGAAGGGACTGAGGACAGAGCTGGAGGCATACCACTTCTTTACCCTCTATAGCTTGAGGCATTGTATGAGGTACAAACAGTCATTGTTTGGGACGGATCTGGGCTCTGTCTGCACAGCAGCTGAGTGGGGTTTCTGGAGGATTTGCTGCCCGTCTATTGCAGACTCACGTCCCTTCAGGACACAGTGACACACATAGAAAGACTCCACAGCAACTAATGCTTTTGACCACAAGACTGCTCCAATGTGGACAAAGATGCTTTTTCTGCATCCTTCTTGCCCTCTACAGAGTTTCCAGGGCATGTCACCAACACTGCCCATCATTTTCAGATGAGAGAGGATGATCTCTGTGTGTCCGGTTCTTTCCCCTACATATTATACCCACCCACTTCTACTTCATCCCACAGTCTAGCAGAGGGCTCACATATCCCTTACACTGTTGCCCTGGCTGTCTCCTGTTTCTTTAACTCCTCTGGGACTCCCAACAATATCCAGGGATAGGAGGTGAGAAAGGCAAGGACACATTGCAAGTGGCAGTGTGGGATCAGGGTCTTGGTCAGGTGGGT